CTCGACAGCGTAGCGTCATGGAAGCAAGGACTAGACTAACTATACATGTCTTGTCGTTCATGCGGGCGTCGCCTCTCACGTATCTACACCTAACTATACTAAACCCCTTTAACCTTACTCTCTCTCTCTCTCTCTAAAACTATCTTCCCCCATCTTTCTCTCTGCTTTGAAGGTGATCTCCATGCCTGTCACTAGATTCAAATTGAGGACATCTTATTTTGTGTATATGCACATCTACACAGACCGTAAACCCTCCCCACCTGTATTCACAATATTGTATTCCCCCTTTCTCCTCCTCTCTCTAGAATGGTGCGGCCCTGTGAGGAATGCCCTTTCTCCTTGAATTCCTGTAGTTAATGATCGGCGGAGTTGCAGGTGAAATGAAGCTGGTAAAATTATTGGCTTCGTCACTTGAACTCGAGTATTTCTCTCCATATCTCATCATATAATCTGGGTTCTCATCCATGAAGCGCTGAAATGTGTTTCTCTTAGTACTTCTCTTTGGGGTTGAGGACTCCTCTGATTCTGAGCCCTGTGCTGCTTCCCTTTGTTGTTTAGGCCGGAGAGCAAAAGTCAGTTCAGGGTCTCTCTTAATTCCACCAAGCTGAGCAAAATGAACAAAAACAATAGAGATGGGATTTGCGGATATACACAAATTTAGAGAGAGAAAGAGAGGAGCGTTCTTTCTAATCTTGCAAATTAAGGAAAATAAACAAACCAGACAGCAGAAAACGGCCTGGTTGAAGAGAAATTAAATGTAGAATGTACATTCCTCTCAAAACAATCTAAGTTGTATGAATTTAGAGAGAGAAGCATATAAATGGAGGAACTTCGTAAAAATCCAGACAGAATAAGGTGGTGTTTGTTTTCTCCAATCTTAACCCTGGAGATGGATTGAGAAACGGCTTGTGGTGAAAACAGATCTCGAGGGAGAACCCAGCATTCCATTTCAATTATCAAAGATTCAAAGCTAAGAAAAACTTCTTGAGTCAATGACACAAACCAAGAGAAACAAGAGGTTTGGTAATGAAAAAGGTAAACCAAAAATCCCCAGAAAGAGAAGATGAGCAAAAAAACACAAAGTCATACGTAGGAAAATCTAGAGAGAGAGAGAGAGAGAGAGAAAAAGAGTAGGTGAGTTACCTTGCAACCGAGAGAGCAGAATCTGTAGGTATCAAGAAGGCTCCTGTTACAAATCTCACATGTATTGGTCACCCCTTTCCCTGCCCTTATTTGTGGCCTTTCATTCAAAAACACAATCCTCGCACTGTTTATTATATATGTTTGGACCGCTGAAATGTCGAGTACCTTTTGAACCTCAGACACTCGAATCACATTGTGGTAAGATGACCTCCTTATCTGTTTTAATGAGAGAGAATCACTGCTTTAGAGAGAGAGAGATACCACCACAACACATTCCTCCAAAATAATGCAACCCAAAAAGAGATAATCGAGATCCATACACACTTAAATCCTAATGTTTTAGAGGGAGAAACAGCAAACATCCATCCACAACAAACTGTTTTAGAGAGAGAGAGAAAGAAATACACACCAGCAGCAGACAACCCAAAAAGAGGTTCTCGACACATAGGTAGAGAAAAAAATGGAGGTTCTAGAGAGAGAGAGAGAGAGATATTACCTGAACAACGTGATGGTCTTTGTGGTGGGCAAGGCAGTAGGAGCAAAGGGCATTTCCCATACAGTTAAGACAATAGAGATTGCATTCGTTTTTGTGGGCATCGTGATGGACCAGACAAGGGATGAAAAAGCTCGTTTGCAACAGAGGCTTTAACCAGCGAGGATACAGCTCTTCGTTTCCCGGTCTTATCATCGGACCTACCTGTTCCACCACCAAACAAACGTAGCTCACAATCTCAAAAAGACAGACACAAGCATTCTCTACTCTACTCTACTAACGAGAGAGAGAGAGAGAGAGAGAGAGAGGAGAGAATGAGTTAACGAAATCCAAGAAAGGAAAAAGCGGCACCGCCTTCACCATTCTTTAGTTTAGACTGAGAAATCTTGGGAATTGAAATCGACAAATCTCATTAAGCATCAAAGATATTATCAGAGATAAATTGGCATAGGTATTGAATTCGACAACAAGTGAAAAAACCCAGAAAACATCAAGCGAGACTGCTCGAACCAAACCAACCCACCGAAAATAGAAGAGAACCAATAAAACATCAAGACATCGGAGAAGCGAGCTCACCATTACATTCTTTCTCTTGCAACCCACCAGACCAAACCTGGTTTGATTTTCGATGGCCAGCTTTCCAGTTAATAGAGAAACACAGTAAGAGCAAATACCAAAGCTGCAAATAAGAGCCAACATTAGAATAACCTCAACGCACCAAGCTTTATAAAACCCAAAAAGCAAAAAGAATGAAACGACGGCCTTTTTCGATGCTTCTTATTCAGCTGTAAAGAAAAGCTCAAAAGTAACCTTTAGGCCCTGTCCACGAAACCGAAATCACCGGAAAGTTAGCCGGGAAAACCAGTTCGATAGCATCAAGTCAATCCCATAGGAGAGAGATAGAGATGCCGAATAGAGAGAAAAACGGGTGTTGGATAGAGATAGAGATGCCGAATAGAGAGAAAAACGGGTGTTGGATAAAGGAAGGGCGATATAAAAATGTTGCCTCTCATTCAATTAGATGGAAGGTTGCCGAAACTGGTGATGGACGGCCGGCATTTATCGCCGGAAAATTAGCGGACGGTGATTAAAGGGCCACCTAAACCACATTCCTTTACCCGAGTCTCGTGACATATGACAAATTAAGCCTCGCAGAACGCTGACTCAACCCCAAAGAGAAAACACTAACCATGGTTAATCATGACGACACCTGTAGTTAAGTGGCGGCGTCGACCGTTTAATTTGACGGCTATCGCCGTCAGTTAAGACGGCTGGAGGGCTCGGCAGCACGCTATCCTGCAAAATGCCGTCTGAATTTTCGCGGCTAGGGCTCACGCCGTTTATGCCACGTCTATAAATTTGCCGCCTTTATGGGGCCCATGTCTAGTTCACACGTGTGAATTTGAACGTGTCGAGAAGTAATCATCGGACATATGGTCCTACACGTGTCGATATTAAAGAGCTCCACGTGTACGGCTGTGGGTTCGAGACCAGCGTGGCCTTTGGGGCTGGGCGGTTACGTCGTCTTTTTGTACTCTCTAACGGCTTCGCCTTCGCCTTCACCTTCACCTTCACCTTCACCTTCCCCTTCCTAAGGCCGAATTCTCATGTCAAATGTGGGACAGCTTTTTTTTGGAAATTGCGAGTCATTTTATCCACTTCGTCTATATATCACTTTTGTTTTTTCTTTTCTTTTATTTAAGTTTCCAATAACAATTTTCCCATGCTTTATAAAATAGGGTTCAGAAAATGCAGTCAAGAAAAAAAAAATGTTGACGGTAGGTGGAATCGTTTTATCCAGATAAGAAATCATTGATGCTACTTTAGTTTCCATCCGCCCGGTTTTATTTTCGAACCTGCCTATTCTCAGAGGCTATCCAGCGGCCAACCCCACCTTTATTTTTTTATTATTTCTAATTTTTTTCAATTTTTTTGTCCAATTCTCCTAATAACATCGTCAATCCAAATTGCCAATCCACCATTCTCGATCGGTTCTGAGGTTGATGATGTGGTTTTTTGAACTGTGTATTTAAAGATTGCTGTATACTAAAAAGTCTAAAGCCCTTTTTTCTCTGGCATAAGAATGGAACTTGAGATGTTGGGCCGTCAAAACCTAGCCTCTAAAGCCCTTCGTTCCCTTGTTCATGGAATAATTAATATTTTTTATCTCCCTCTCTCATTGCGAGTATTTTTCCTTCGTAGGCATGACAAATCTTTCTTTATTATTATTTTCTTTGTGGATTAAGATGCACCTATGATCATTATTTTCACATGAAAATATTCTTTCATGTGGTTTGGTGTAGAAACATTTTCACATTAATTATCTGTCAATTTGTGTGAAAAGATACACTAAAATCATTAGTGTGAAACTATTCTCACACCTAACTACATAAAAAATAATTTATGTGAAAATATTTTTTAAAAATATTTTCTAAAAATAGTTTCATGCGAAACAAATGTGCATGCATAGTCTTCATATTCTCTTTATCTTATATGGACCCGATTTTATGCAGCCAAGCCCGCATATGTAGAAATACAGGCCTCTTAATAAATATATTTCTGAGATAGATTTTAAGACTTAATTTTTAAGGACATGTAATCTCTAACATAGAGATCATGGTTATGAAAAAATAAATCAATTTTAAAAACTTGAAATAATAATTTTAGTAAAAAAACATTTTGACCTTTAGTTTCCGTTGTTTTTAGATGAAACACCTACTTGCATTCATCTTCAATGTGGATGCGTTGCACTTTCTAGACCGCATATATAAGAATGCTGTCGAGCCCCTCATGAAACAGTTTTTCTATTTTATATTGATGACTTATCTCTTGGTCTTTCCCTAGTATCAAACGATCCACAATTAGCACGCCTTTGTATTTTTTTTTTTTTTGGGGTAATTCATTGGAGGTGATGAGCCCTATTCAAATTTTTGAAACCGCTTAGTAGATTTTTTTTTTTTTTTTCTGGGGTAATTCATTGGGGATGATGAGCCCTATTCATTTTTTTGAAACCGCTTGTAGGTTTTTAACGTGTTGGATTAGAATAAAAACCTAGACTTAACTGTATCACAAGTGAGACACCCCAACAACTCCAACCCCATTCTGAAAACATTATTCATAAGGATAAAAACGCCTTTGTATCTCTTCTTTTTTTTTTTTTTTGTGTGATAAGTGCCTCTCTCTCTCTCTCT